CGCTGTTCGCCAAAATCCAAACCACAGTTCATGACTGAATCGCATTGTTTTTGGCGTACCAGGAAAAAAATCGAAACATTCAGAAGTGGGATCGGGTGGAAATGCATAGGTCTGCTTACGATCAGTCGCCTTTACGCAATAAATTTACGTTGCCATCCTGATTACCACTAATGAAAAGCTTTCTGATATATATTCAAATCTGTTGTAGAAGTTGTGATTTCGCTGTTCTGCTTACGGTGGAAGGAGTCGAGCTATGAGATATTCCTTTTTGCGTTTCTCCGACTCCAGCTCTGCGGTACGCGCACTGACTTGTTCCTCCAGGTCTGTCGAGTACTTCTCCATCATTTTAAACATGTGATCAACAATGTTCGTTTTCCTATAGGGAGAAGAAGAAGATATTGGCCAGTTGGTAAAAGGTAAATTGAGTTTTTTTCTCTGAAAGTAGTTGGCTTGGAGGTGTGGAATATATGGACACTCATCTGCGAAAGCTCCCTGCCAAGAAGGACTCACAGGAAGGATTATTAAGAACATATTTCTTTGTTGTTATGATTTATTTTGTGGATCAGTTAATAAATTTGACCTAACTTTCATTTGCGGAAAAGTAGGTCCCCAAAGCACGCTCTATATGCAAGAGGTTTTAAGCACTGTTGACGACATTTAGGGCGAAAAATAGCAATAAAGCATTCTTGGCACTGGGTTTGAGAAACCGAAAACAACACTGGCAGTTCAATTATGCCCTCAGGCTCAACAATCTTCGGCGCCAAGAGTGAAAACAACTATTTCATCACATAAGTATTTTTCTCCTTTAAATAACTTTGTGCAGTTGCAGTGGCGTTTATTGACTGCTTTTCTCCATCTCTTTTTGAACGCTACCATATAACGGCTTATAACATGGTTTCAAGTGCGAACATCCTCGAAAAAGACGTTGGGTAAGACGTGAAAAAAGGAATCTCACGAAGAATGTATGACCTAACGCCCCATTTCAGGGAAATGACGGTTGGAAATAAGGCTAGACTTAGAAAAGCAAGATATATTGAAACCCTCATACGCGTTTTATTTGAATGATTTCCTCAGTATCTGAGAATTACCGCGTCCCACAAGGCGATAAGTGAAAGTAATACTTTGATGTGCTTAATACAGCAATTGTTTATTCAGTGCACACTTCAAATGGACCTCCAACCTGAATAGCCGGCACGGGCTATGTGTGCTAGATAGACGCGAAGCAGAGTCTCAACAACCTTTTCATTAGGCAGATGCCATAATAATCGAGACGGCCCCAAAGCCAGCGTGAGGATCTCTGTGATTTCCAGGCTTTCACGAACATGTCCTTTGTCCTCTTTCGATGAGCCGAATATCAAGGAAGTTCTGCAAGTTGGACGGTGGGAGCAGAATAGCTGTCTGTACATCTAAATGATTACCAGGTTCCTCTCTAAAATGTTTATATTGACATTCGAACGGTGATATCCTGCGCAGGCCTCGTAATCAATCGCCAGTTACTCCTCTGGGAAGAATTCTATTTTCTTTACGTGCTAATACTGCAATTTCCTTGAGCTAATTATCGATGAAAATTTTGGTTTGTTACGAAGAATAAATTGCGGACGTACTTCCCCATCGTCATGAGCTTCAAGTGCTCCTTCATTTCGTTGAACGTGGGTCTGTGATCCGGTTTTTCGGACCAAGCTCGCTGCATGATTTCCAGATAGGCCGGTTGTATATCCGTCTTGGCAATCTAAAAATCATGGAACAAATAAACAAATCAAAGTAGCAGAAGAAATAAGTGTCAAATGCCAGAAAGCAGACAAAAGAGCAATTTCAATTAAAATATCAGGCCGAATTGTCACGCATTTGTAAAACCATCTAATATTTGAAGTTCCCATCTTCAGGCAACTATTGCTGAATTAATGCATAGTCAGACATCCTCTTGAATAGGTTTTTAAGCCACAGGGTCGCTATCCTTCTCGACTTTAAAATGCAGTCTCTTAACAGCTGACAAGCTTTTCATTAAGCTGAATGATGCTTTGTTGCATTCGTATAAGTCGGCATAGTTAGGGAAAATTTATTTTAAAAAACCTTGTGTATAATTTCGAAATTATTATATAATGCACCAGGAGAACCATAACTCCTGTGTGCTGAACCGGACGGTTAGCCTATTTGCGACCAATCCGGCATCTTTACTACTTGTCCGAATCAGGAAATCTAAGAATTTTTTAAGAAAATCTCTGTTGCACAAAGGCAGCTTGTGCTGCGTTCCCTAAACTCTTACAGCAGTAAAGGAACGATTGTTTTTAGA